ATATATATATATATATATATATATATATATATATATATATATATGCTAGCAAATAATAAAACTACCAGCTGAAGAAAATTATGATGAGTAACACGTAAATAAGTCTTGGTCTTGTTAAGGTAAACTAATGTCAGCAATCTTCAGCACAGCTTGTATACAAAAATTTGGGAAATGTATTTATAGATTAAACCAGTATACAGAATTCTGACCTTGCTGTGGACTAGACAAAATTAATAAATGAAAAATAAATTAACCTTATGCGCTGAATGGTTTCAGAACTCGTTTGCTCATTCAACCTTGAATAAACGGTTTAAAAATCAATCATTAAAAGCCCCAAATTAATCCCATTCATCACCTTGAATGTACATAAACATCTCACAGCTGGACTCATTATTATAGTTCACAGTAACTAAAGCTGGTGCTCGTTTGCCTCTAAAATTTAGCGTGAACATCTCATTCATAAAAGCTAAATGTGCATACGATCAACCATAAATAAAATGAACACAAGACATTTAGCGTTTTGCATTTCTTAAAATTTTGACATTCATTGCAGATAAATACAAGTTAAGACTTGAAAAGTCACCTCTTAAAACAGCAACTTTATTTTTATAAAATAAAAAAACAACTAAAATGTATTACTATTTCATCATCACTAATAGAAACAGTAAGGAAGCACTAAGTCTTTGAGCAATTGAGCCGCTCTTCAAGTATGTTCATCGAGTTTGTTGATTATTCTTCTGGTGTTAAAGCGCCGCCAGGAAAAGAGCATCCAGTTGGCGGGTCACAACCGAAACACAAAGTCTCTGATAGAGCATCCTGGTTGTGGCAGAATCAGTGATTATGACTTCACACATCCAAAAGAAACTATTTAAGAACCCATGTTTTGATCCAGTGATAAGCAGGCACCCTGATCTTCAGTGTGAAGTTAGCTGGAAGAGGAGGACTTGGTAACAAAAGCTGAAATTTGAAGAGATAAAGAGAAAAGAAAAGCAGGTTGACAACTCAAAAATACAAGAGCGAAAGAGAAAACCATTACAAATAAAAACCTGGGACACTAAGCTGCAGAACACAGTCAGCTCGTTACGGTTACAAACAAAATGCAATAATAAGTCGTATTAAAAAGTAGCAGTGACTTCAAAACAATACCAACTGAATCAAATTCAAAACAATAAGATCGAAGTGAAAAAAACAACGTTTTTCACGTGTAAACAAATTCACTCAGGAGAGAAATCAAGTGTGCGGTTCTCTCAGCTCCTCCTTCAACTACGCTCCATTCACTCCTACAGCATGTGCTTGTGCCACCGTCTGTCAACCATCCAGACCGTTTCTTCTTTGATTCTTCCCAACACGCAGCTCAGAAAGTGGTAAAGTGACAAAACCTCTGATACACTCCTGAGTGTAGTAGACAACTTCCTGTATAGGTCCTCCCTTTAAGTTTCAGTCTCAAAGCCCAAGTCCCTTCATTGTTCCAATTCGTCTTTCATAGCAGGTCATCTGGGGTGCAGAAGGAAGCGATGCAGATACTCTGAAATGGCGTCCCAGTGCCTCCACAGGAAGGCGAGCAGGATTACAAGAAGTACAGTAGAAAGTGTGCGGCTGCGGGTTTTCATCAAGGGGACGACACAGTTGGCCACGGTGGACACGAACACCAAAAGGACGGCCATGACAGCTAGCAGCACGTTGATTAATTTTCCGAGAAGAGTCCGTGCTGTGGCGTTCTCCAACCCCTCCAGCTGCACCACCTGCTGCTGCTGCTGCTGCAGCTCCATCTTGGAGATGCGTGTCTGACAAGCCTCTAGCGCCTCCTAAGTGTTGGAGACAAAACCGTCAGATTAAAAAAAAAAAAAGGAGTGATAAGAAACGGAAATGCTGTTCATGGTGAAGCTTGCCTGGATGTCCCTCGCTCTTTCGTAGGACTGGTAGGCGATCTTCTCCTCCATGCTAGCTAGCTCCTGTTTGAGGTTAAGAATTTCATTCTGGTGCAGTTCTGTCAAGTCGTTGAGTTGTTCCTCTAAGCGTTCACACCTGCAAAACACTCACAGGTCAGAAAACCCAGCATTGTAACTGCTAAGATAATGCTACAGTGTAAATGGTAATGCTACCTGTACCGCTCCTCTTGTAAGGCCTCCATGATCATGGTGTAGTCCCGCTGATAGTGAGATTTCAAATTTTCAAAGGACTCTTCTAGTCGACCCTGGTTATCCCGGAGTTCTTGGATCTCATGAAGTATGGCATCGAAGCCTGAGGCTTGTGGATCAAGAGTAATTCCCCTAGAGCTAGGAGGACCTCCAGGGGCTCCAGGGGTGCTGTTAGCTCCTGCAGAACCAGAAGTAGCACTAGAACAGTCATCTTCACTACCATACTTTGGGCTGGATTGTAACTGTCCTGTCCCCAGAGGCCTTGATCCCCCAGGACTGACACCTTCCTCTCCCTGCGCTTCATCCAAAGAGTCTTTCAGAGCTGCGATGTTGTCTGCGCTCCCAAACTTGTTGCGAATGAGGGAGGCTATCTCCCTTGGCTTGGATACCACAGCTCCAGCTGCAGAATGAGTGGCTTGGGAGATGCTGGACAGGCCTCCCGTGACCTGGAAATAAGAAGAATTACAATTAAGTTGATACAGTTACTGCGTCAATATAAAAATGAAAGAGAAATAAGGTCTAGTAAGAGTTACACTGGTGTAACATGAACATGTTTGGCTAAAAAAATTGTCCATTTGAGCATTTATGAGAAACACATGAGCAGCATTAATAAACTAAGCAGAGTGTCTATATACAGCATTGTGATTTGTATGGAAATGTAAAGATTTGTGTCAAGTACAAAATGATATAAAACCTAGAACTAGTCTTGTGGCAGAAGAACAACCCTGAAAAACCCAAACCTTAGCTCCAACATCTTTTAGCCCCTGGTGCATGTCTCTTAAAACATCTTTGGGCTGGCGAGGGATACCGTTGTGCTCCACCTCACGAAGTTTCCGATGGTAGTGCTCGAGCTTCCTCTGCAGCTGCTGGATAGTCTGAGCAGACTTTTGGTTCTTCTTCTCAAACACCTGTTTGATGCGTGCACTCTGTTGTTTGTCTGCATTATTGGCAAGCTTCAGGTATTCGGCCACGTTGTCGTCACGAGCGGTTTGTTCGATCTTGATTTGTTCTGTGAGCTTCAGGATCTTCTGCTGCAACTGTGCGATGGCCTGCTTGGTACGCTGGGGGTCTGGTGTATTGTCAACCACATCGTACCCTTCAGTGCCATAAGAGAGGGCACTGGGGGACACAGCAGGGCCTGATCCATCACAACGATCCAGCTTATTAAAAAATAGAAGAAAATGGAAAAAGAAGGGAAATAATCTTTTTAATTACCTAGAATTTATATGGACATTAAAATTCATATTAAAGTCAATAATGAACGACTAAAAATGCATAATTATAGAAACAGATAATGACGGAAAAGATATGCATAGTAATTTATTGTCTCCATTTAGTGAATGTTTTGTCCAATATGAGTATAAAGTGTTTAAAAGTAGATTTTTTTTTTTAATGTTTTACTCTGGAGAAAAATGTGCAGCAAATATCAGATGGATATATATGTATATAAAATAAGGATCGTATTATTATCAAAAAAAAATTCCCAGGAGAAATATTTTCTACTGACAATAGTTATAGCTTAAAATATGATTTTTGTAGGATAAAAAATGTAAAAGTCTTGAAATGTGAACATTTTAAATATGAACAGTTGTTTGGGAATCAAGTGACGGTAAAGGAAGGTGTTTGAGAACAATAGTTGGTTTTATGGCACAAAAATAACTTTTGTAATTACACGTTTTAACAGCAGGTGGCGTCTGTCAAACAAAGTGCCTTAAGATAAATATCTGCATATTTCCAGCTTTAGGACATTAAAATATAAAATGCAACTAAAGAAAACAAAAGGCTTTAAAAAGGCTGCTGAAATAACAAATGTGACCCCTCAGACATTTTTGCTTTATTTTTGAGAAACGACTAAGACAAAGGTGGCTAAATATTTTTAAATTTATTTCAGGATTTCCCTGAGGAAACGGGTTGATAAAATAATAACATTTATTTAAAATTAACCTGAGACAAATTCACTAAAGCTGCAGGTTATTTCTAGAAACAAAAGATTCAGCGGTTGTTGATTTGGAACACAGTTTTACCATGCATATTTAAAACTATTTTTATTGTTTTGCAAGTTTTTATTTATTTTTATTTGACATTTATGTAACCAGGCAAATCCCAGTGAGATCACAAATTTCTTTTGCAATGGAGGCCTGGGCCTGCAGGCAGCCTAACATGCATATTTTTGGTCATTTCGACCTTATATGTATTATCAAATCAAATCAGATGAAAAAAAAACAAATTTACTATCTGAAAATTATTTGGTAAAAAAAAAAAAAAAAAAAAAACTATTGTATCATTTGAAACTGATATTTATATTTAATGTCAGCTACATGTTTGTGAAAAGTTGGGACGGACACATTAGCATTGAAAGGATCCACTGCTGCAGTTACAGTTAGGGGCTTCCATTGTGTTTCTTTAGAAGTCAAAAATCAATGTTTTAGTTAGATCACAGGTCGACTGTTGAAAGTTTGGCACAAAGACCTTTGAAGCTCAGTGTTGTGCAGACAGTGATTTGAAATAGTTTTGCTGAAAAAGCAAGGCCTTTCCTTAAAAAAAAAAAAAAAAAAAAGGGGCAGCATATATTGGATTTTTGGCCAATATCCAATATGCCGATATGTTAAAACTTTATTTGGCCGATAGCCGATAGCCGATACCAATACCGATATTTTTCCCTAGATCTACTTACAGACACTACATACAGTAGCTTTCTCTACGGTGGAATTAAACTACTACATTATTCTGCATGGTCTTTGTCAATGTGGCCTGCTACCAAATGCAGATGTCAAAAAGAGGCCTGAAAACGATGCAACACTTCAACTTAAATTATGTTTAATGGCAAATTTGTGACATTTACTCTAACACAATGACAACACTTCAACGGTGCAAATTTGTCAATTTTCACAAATCTAACCTGTTCACAAGTGACAAGTGAAAAGAGCATAAATAGTAGTGCATTAATAGATAAACTTGACAGTTTCTTAAATTAAAAATTAACTTAAAACAGAAGCCTTTTACATCAGTGAGTTATTTTTGATGGAATGGCCAATGTCCGATATTTAACTTTATCGCTAATATCGGTCAATACCATGCCGATAATATCGTGCATCCCTAGCTGCATACGTTATCCCAAACCCTGTACATACTGTAAGCATTAATGTTACAGTCACAGATTCATGCCATGTGTGAAACAGGCTTTTAAACCGCGTCCCTTAATATTTACCACAATGCTGTGCTCAGTTCTTCAGATAACTTGCAGGACAAACAAGACGAGAAAAAAATGGTTTTCCACTTTATCTCCATTCACCAAAACTAAACAGTGGCCCATAGAAAGATGGATGGATTAAAGGATTTAGTGTCCATTCAGAAAGCAGCATAACAGAGCTGGTTTATTTTTCTAACAAACTGTGAAAAACTAACTGTTTCAAAGATAAAACCTCCCCCGATCAATGACTCATCGGTAAAATATTGATAAATAAAAACAATGGCTCTTTTCGACTGTATTGATGAGAGCCTAAATCTAATCAAAACCTCATTTAATGTTAATCGTAATGTCTGTAATCCAATAGTTTTGGTGAGTTATCAGCTAATTAATGTGGTAATAAATTGAAATGTATTTGATTGAATATGTTTACTATTTTTACGTCTGCTGTCATCTGTAGTCCTCAGATCATTTAAACCGGACACATTTCAGTGCATTTTCAACAGGTTTTTTTTTCCATTTTGAGCTCAAAAATAGTTACAAGTTTGAGAGTGTTTACCCCTGTGAGCAGTCAGCTGACCTGAAGTGTACTGAGAGATGACAAACGCTAAATTTAGAAAGGCTTAAAGCAAACAGTGTCCAACCAGTCAAAGGCAATATCTGACCTTCGCACACTGACAACTCATCTTCCCATTCTGTGGCGCATTCAGGACACATCTAAACCATCCAGAGTCTCTTAATACGATTTTCCAGCCCGCTAGGTTTTGACGTTCGTGCTCACACTTTAGTACAAGAGTCACCTCTACCCGTTTAATTTTAGAATCTGACAAATACAAATTTCTTGCATCGCTGATGCAAACTAACAAATTCAAACTGAATGTTTTATATGTTAAGGCCAACTCTTCTAGGAATAGAACGCTTTAGGATTAATACGCGTTTGTTACGACACACTCGTTATGCGTTTGTAGGAACAGGGGACATAAGGACAGAAGACTCCATGGATAGTCTTGACTAAGGATTTAGTCACTGATGTGGCTCCTTTCAGTTTTGGGACTTCCATGAATATTGGAAATGTGCTTATATAAAGTCACCGAGTTAACTGTAGATCAGGTTTTTCTATAACGTGGTTAACGTAGCATCAACTCATAAAATGCATCACAGGAATTAGTTTCATTGTAAATAATGTTTAGTTGCATAATGAGCATGTTACAGTGGACCACCTGAGACCCTCACCTTGTCTGGCTCCTCAGTGGAGTGGTATCCAGAGGTCAGCAACATGTCCGCCAGGGCTGGACTGGTGGGTGTATCCGTGGTAGAGGATGAGCGTGGGCGTCCAGCCTGCAGCAGAGCCTCGTGAGTGCTCCGCCTGTGGATCTGCGGGCTTCCTTTCTGGGGAGGATCACCAGGGGCCCCCGCCTTGTTGCGGCGGCTCTGCAGGCTGGTGCCTCGCTTCATCATCGGCGGACCTCGGATCTGCTGCAGAACACGGCTCAGAGCTGCGGGAGGGGCGGAAGCAGCAGCGTTGTCAGAATCCAAAGGCAGGGCCAAGGAGGCGGGAGCGTCCCCCACTTCTGACCCAACATCGGTGGGTTCGGAGGGAGGGGCGCTCGTGCAGGACACGGCGGAGTCATGCGGGGAAACGGAGGAGCGTCGGCGCTGTGGCTGGAAGAACTGCTTCAGGCCATGGCCCAACGCTCCCATGTTCTCCAGGGCATTGTGGGTGATTTTGGACAAGCCGTGCTCTGACTCCGATGCCCTCCTGCCGACCTCAGGATCCGCTCGGCCTCCTGCATCTGGCTCCTCTGGACTCTGCTCGCTACTACCCTGATCCATCAGAGACCTCCAGTTTCACGATGAGGTTCTACTTGGGGGTTGCAGGAGACTAGACACCCCCCCCCTGAGAGGCCGAGTGAAAGCCGGGAAGCAGAGGGGATGGCGCTCAGTTGGGCCTTTTGAGTGGACATGCATCTGTGGCTTGGCTCAATGTCATGCTTGTCTACCACAAAAAGGAAAATAAAATGAATTAAAACATGCAGCAGTGAGGAACATAAAAAAAATAATGTGAAGCAAAAACAACAAAAACTGGGCTGACATGGACAAGACCACAGCTGTGTCCTTCAATTTAAAAATCATCAACAATATTTAATAATGACTGGAACATAAAATGTTCACTTCAGTGAAAACGGCAGGAACTGACTTTAGCTCATAATCATGTGGCATGTCTTAAAATGTCAACCCAGAACAGCAAAAACAACTTGTGTGAACACTTTCTGAAATGTTTTGCCTTCCATGTTCAAAGCTGCTTTTTAAACTACCTGTGAATTATTTCAAATAATTACATTTCAGAAGGTGTTCATTAAATAAATTAACAGTCGCTTGGAAGATGCTAACCAAAAAAAAACAAACAAAAAAAAAAAAAAGTGGGGGAAAAATAACCAAGAAACTATGTGCGATAAATAAAAAACGTGACTAATTCTCAACAGAAACCTCTGATACAAGGTGCTCCACAATCCACAGCAGCCTCCCCTTTGCATCCGTTTTCTAACCAGACTAAATTCTGTATCGTGAGCGCTCATTCCAAGAATTTGCGTAGACATGTTGGTTTATACCAAGCACGGTTTGCTTTGGTTTATCATCATGTAATGACAAAAATAAGCTAGAGGAGAGGAGGAAACAAGTTTGACGGAGTGCTTACCATCAGCCCGGCCTCTTCTCTTCTGACTCACAACTAAGGAACAGCTAAATGAAGCACAGACAAAAGTACATTTACTTTTTTCATGCTTCAGAAAGGTAAAAAAAAAAAAAAGGAATGTAAAGAAAAACAGATTAAAATGTTCTACAGCTAATATAGAAAAACACCTAAAAGCTCAAAATCTGCTGACCTAAAAAGACCTAAGAGATCTTCTATTAAATGAATTGGTTTATGTTTGATGAGCCTTGATACATAATTATTTACACCACTGCACAAATGATATTAACATAAAATAGCGTAAAAACCTTCACATGACATGGCTGCAACACTTAATAGTCAGAAACTAACAAAACAAGAAAACATGGCGGTTACAGCTCCGTCGTCACCTGCACAGCTCGTCTGAGGGCCTGGGAGATATTCCGTGTTGCAAATGTGCAAAGCAAACAAATGTGTAAATATCAGCTTCAGAACATTGAATGCACCCTTGTCCAGAAGTGACAGGATTAGCATCAACTAAGGTTTGCACACAAAACTAATCACTGCAAGCAAACGAGCCACTTCAGTGTCACAAAGATGTCAATAGCTTATCTGATCTTGTGCTTTTGCCTCTGCATCACATGAGACTGAAACCAAAGACCTGATGTTAAATCAGAAGGATCATAGATGGAAGGTATATTTTGTGGCACAGAATGTCTTCTTACGTGCATACCCCGAGTATGACTTTATACCAACTCCTCAGCATAAAGCATGATTTACCTACAGTTTATTTGTATGAAAAATGCATTTAAGCTGCAGGTTTGTGATGTTCCTTTGGATCTGGCTCGCCCAGCCTTGATAAAAACTTTTTAAAAAACAGTACGCTGGTGAAGATTCTCATTCATCCAGGTCATGATCAATCCAAAACAATAAAAAAAATAAAGGTTAAAAACAAAAGGACTTCTATTCTGAAGCTGAAGACATTTCACTTCTCACCCAGAGGCTTTATCAGTTCTAAAATGTCTGGAGTGTGTGGAGCTCACAGCTTTATAGAACTGCATGAGGTTCTGATGCACCTGCAGATCAGACTGGAACTACTCGTCCCCGCACAGCGGAGGCTCGTTGGGTTCTGCCTGGCTCACAAGAGATGTTTGGGTCACCTGCGTGAAGGTGTGAATTGGAGTGGCGCCGACTGGAAATCAAACCTAATAAATCTATACTGTCATTTTTTGAAAGTTAAAATCTGAGACCTCTGTTTAAAGTATTGTCTCATTTGAAGTAAATGGCTTCCTTCACCGCCCTCTCAAAACCATCTGTCCAAAATATGAACATTCTGGTCATCAAGACCTTATCCTTGAGATGTATCGGGAGGTGGACCACCGAGTCTTGTCCTGAAGAGAGAGTTCTCCGGTGTTGAGCCATGCATCAAGGAGTCCTGCATATTTTCACAAGTACCGACGAAAACCCTAATGTAACGGATATCTTTAGGTAATGCACGGGACTACTTTCCAGGCAAACCGGAAAAAAAAATCCTATAAGTCAGCACAAAGGATCACTTAACAAGGCAGCAGAGCAATTTAACACCAAAAATCCAATAAAACGCTCCATTACAGATATGCGGTGATTCATTTGACGCTGGTCCTGCAGGTAGGCCTCCATCTGATAAGAACGGAAAACACTTCAGTAATATTTGTGTGTGCATATATCTGTAACCAGCACTGGATGAACAATATGCTCAGAGGTTGTTTTTGTTGTCGTTACAGTTCACTCACTAAAGATCCTCAAGTTGCCCAAATTTTAGCATATCTGTACACAAACGATTGCATTTTCTCAAGCGTGTTCATTCTAGATAATACAATTCATCTATGGCATACACTTGGTGTTAAAGCAGGTTTTCTCATGCTCCTAATAGCTGTGCTCAGGTTGTTATGGCAGCTGCTTCAAATCTCACAAAGAACATCCCAATGACTCATGTATCGAGGCGCTCAGTAACCATATAAAAAAGGTAGATGAAACAAAAAGATGTAGCAGCAAACTGATTTCACGATCATCTTAAAGCAACACTTAAAGCATTGTATTAGCACTTCATAACTACTTAAATGCGATCACAGAGTCACTTTGAAATAACCTTTTTAAAGCTCCAAACTAAGACTAAGACGAGGAATATTAAATATTTCACACAGATGTGCAACTAAATCCTGCATCTGCAGTGAAAATACAATGACATCCGACTCCTCCGGGCTGAAGGGGAAGTCCAAAGTGGGTCAGCCAGTATTCACCTATCACTCTGTGCATGCAGAGCTCCAATGTCACAGCAGCTTTACAGAGTGCTGTGCATGTCCACATACATATTACTGGTGCCAAATACTTTTGGGACACAAGGAAGAAAAACACTTCTATTTTTATTTTTTTGCAGATTTTAATTTCATGATTTTGATTACAGCAAAAATATTAAATAGTGGTTTATTTGTACATTAAAAAAAAGAGGTTTTCATTAAGATTAACACTTAAAAGAGTCAAAGTTTTAAGATATATAAAACAAAGGCAGCTGTCACACATCATATAAATGTGCAACGTCCAATTGATTGTAAATAGGAAGTGCAATCAAGGAAATGCAAAGACTAAATTCAAATGTTTATTACCATTTAATTACAGTCAAATGAGTCGTGTATGATGGTAGAAAACCATACCTCCAGATGTGGTCAGCAGATCCATGTATCTATCAACACGGGGGAAAAGACGTTGGAATAATCCAAGCCAATATTTGACACCGCTTTCTCTGGGTAACTTTTCCAAACCAAGCTGCAGTCGAACTTTAGTCCGCTCTGTCGATAGATATTTAGAAAAATCACATGCTGCAAAAAAAAAAAAAAAAAAAAAAGAAGTAGTAAAAAGAAAGTTGAAATTTAAAATTTAAAACCTTTGAACATACAAAGCTGCCTTTCCTAAAGCTCATATGTGTATAAAAACAATCATTTGGAGGTTTGGAGGATCTAAAATAAAAAGATACAACACACAAAAGGAAAAGCGCGGAGACTTTAACATAATAACATTGCTTATTATATAAGATTTATGTATGTTAGATTAGTGTCATGTTTTACTGTCACCTTTTGCAGAATAAAAAAAGCATTTTAATTAAAACTTCTTTGGGCATCACTAAACTATTTAAAAGAGCCTAATCCATTTAATTTGGTTTCATTCAGTACAGCAGGGGGCCTCAAAGGAATTTCAGCTTAATTACCTGCACATTGTTAATTAATAGTGCAGAAATAGTCTCAGGGATGTCTGGAAAAGACATTTATCATTTATCTGTCTTCCAGATAAACTTCTAAGAGTTATGCGACAATGAACAACAAAAATAGGGTTAAAGGAAAACTAGATGAGGTTTTCATGCTCAGTTTAATTAGATTGTCACCAGGCGTTCAGAAATAAGAGGTTTGTCCTTTTAAGTAGACTGTTGTGTGAAACAAAGGCCTTAAAGATATCTTAAAGAGATTAACACTACTATCCCTTTATAAACCCAGCTTTGTAATAAATTAACTTTACACCTCACCACAAGTGCATTTGGGTGTTTTGAGCTGTACCAAGACCAAACATTTCTAGGAATGACCAGACCTGATAATCATCAATGTACGGCCATTGTTGGTGTTTGATTAGTTGCAGCAAAGGACAGAACCCAACGATCAGCTGGAGGTAAAAGGTGAAATTGGCAACTAGCTAGCTGATGGTCCCAGGCCGAAACACGCTAAATCTTCAGAGATTATCAACAGAGTTTAGCTGAGCTTCCTGGAGTGCTGCTAACCTTCGTATTATCTCAAGTCAAAGCAGCGTGGACAGTTTAATGAAATGTCCTGACTTTTCAACTGGTATGTAGCAGCACAAGCTAGCATGGCGCGGCTAGGAGCGTTCGTTTTATTGCACGGCGCACACCGCGGGTGGTGCTATGCGGGTCAAGCTCCTTGGTCTCACAGGGTCTGAATGATAAACGCACAATATTACGAGTTAGGATTATTTAAGAGCTTTTCTTTTACAGTCTGCATACAATAGTGCACATTACAGCTGCTGACAAAATAAGCTATTATACAGTTATACCGGATTACCAGATCTTGCACATAGAGCCTTCGACCATCATGCTGGATTCATGCAACTAGCACTCTGTTATTAACATCCTGATACGGAGTCATGAATACAGGTGTTAAATTATTGCAGCGTGAAACTTAAAAAAAAAAAATGTTTAAGACAATCTGACAGCAACGAGAGCAAACGGCCCTCGCAGGTGTGAAGCTTTAACACCCAGTTTAGACGGGAGGAGGCATTGAGTTGCCATCTGTCACCTACTCCCACAAGGTTTTCCTTTATTTCATGGTGGCGGTTTAGTTTGTAAAGGGTTAACCAATTAGTTTTTGAACCAAAAAAAAAAAAAGCGTGTTAAGCTTTAGCACAAAGCGTTTACTTTTCTAGAAGCTGACGTGGAGTTGGTAAAGTTGTCTACAAGATGAGCTCATAAATCAGAATAAAATGTACTGTACATGCTCCCCCGTTGACGTCCTGGGTGGTGAATCAAGGCGCTAATTCGACGCCTGATTACTCAGCCTGTCAATTTGCAGGCTGGCTAAGCTCTCCGGCTAAAAAACAGCGCTCGTGCTTCAGCCACGGTTAGCTTCAGGAAAACATGGCACACCGCCAGGCGGCAGCGACAACACGGTGAACAAGGTAAACGCTCCTCAGACTCTCTGCGAGTCAGACCAGCGCGTGAAAACGCACTTCATTCATAAAACGGTTCGCAAATAAGCGTGAGTTTTGTTGGCTTCAACTTACACGGGCGGTCAGAGGACCGTGTTGATGACCGTTCATTTCTCCCGATGGTCGACACTCCCACGATGACGTCAAACTGCGTGTGTAGCGTCAGAGCAGCCGGGCAGTTAACCGCCCTGTACGGCAAGTCGTTGTAGCATATAACACAGGTCCTAACGAATTTTGTGTCAGTGTTCCTCCTACAAAAATGGTTTTCCTGAAGTTCTTTTTAAAATTTCTCAATCACAAAAGTTTCAAAATATTTTGTTGAAA